AGTTTCCCCTGGTGTCTTTCCACCGAGAAGTGTTATTTGCCTGTCAAGTTTCCGGGACCATGTTTTGAAAGTATCAAACCTCTTATCTTTCAACCTTTCAATACTTGGATGATCAGGGAAATGTCCAGTTTTAGTTCCCTCTTCAAATGCAGAGCTTTTTGGCATTGGCTGAGGGTGAAACTTTAATCCTTTGGGCAGTGTGCTGCTGCTAGCACTTTTAAGTGTGGCAGAGGAAGCTGGAATTCCATTGTTGAAACTTGTTTCACCACTGAAGAGCATTCTTTTGTTGTCCTCCAAATGAAGTTCGATTGCTGATGTTGGCATGCTAATAGAAACAGAAAGCACACTTTGATGAATTTGGGGTTCAGATTCATCAAGTGTGCATTCTAAGGCATCTGTCTCAATTCCCTGACATAAAAAATGCATAACCATTAACAACCTTGTTTTTCTTCTCATTCTTTGGCGGTCGACGAACAAATCAAAGTACGCAATCACATCTTGTAGTAGATAGAGCAGAACGAAATAAATTTCTCAAAGCAAACTATAGTTTTCTCTGTGAATTATAGAAAACACTTAGTTTCATTAGGAATGTTATGTGCTGCAGCCTCTTTTTTAGTTTAATACACATGAAACTTTAAGATAAACTTACTTGAGCTGATGGACTGATAAGCTGAAGCGCACTTGGTTGATACCTATCATTGAGAAATCTTTTCTCCTCAGCATTATCAAAGCCAGACACTTCATTTGATGATGCACGCCTGATGAGAGATGGAAGTTCAAACGAATTCTCTTTTTCAGAATTCGGATTTTTGCTGTTTTCCATCATAAAAATTTAGAGCACAAAATATAAAGTACATCAGAAGCTGCCAAAGTCAAGTATTTACCAAATTTTGCTAATCGAAACAGCAGACACATGGTGTGGTTTGATTGTAATAATATAAAGTTTTTTATGTTAATTGGTGGAACACATAAATAGGATGACAAAACATTTCAAGATTCGCGACTGGTGATAGAAAACCACTGAGAACTACATTAGTGTAAATTGTCAAGATATTTTCAAAAGTTTTTTGGTGGTGGAGCAATTTAGATTGGATATATCCTTTAATGGAGGAGGGGAGATACATTGGTAATCTACTTAACATATCTAAATGGACATGCACTAGGTAATAGGTATTCATAACCTTAACCTCAATTATTGGTAATCAACAAAATCAATGTACAATTGCAGAAGTCAACAGATGACAAAACATCATAACCACAGACCTTGGTCAAACATGTAATGCAAATTCCGCAAAAAAAAAAAATATAAATATAAATTGTTGCTCAAAATCAATGGTTAATGCCCGTTTGTTTTTTATTGTTTGAGCAGATGAAGGAATGAATGTAGCCATTGCAGCGCCGGAGATCATGGATGTCAGCATATGCAGGAATAGAGAGCCTTAGTCTGTTTTGGGATGCAGCTCTTTTTGTCAACAGCCCATGAACAGTGTCCTCCTATAGCTTTCATCCCTTGCATTGTTATAGTTTTGTTTCGGCTCATCATATTGTTCGCTTTGCTATTGAGTGCATGAATAACATGCTAATTAAACAAAGTTGTTTTAGCAGGTTATTGAATAAGAGCCACTAAATCTGATAACTAAACCCAAATTTTAATCCCAAAGTTATACAAAGGTCCAGACAATTGGAATTTGTGTCAACACCCTACAAAATGTGATGAAAGTGCATATAGAGGAAGCTAAGTACTTATTACCATTATCAAGAGCCAAGAACGCAATTAATTAAGCAAGATCATGGATCGGTTTATTTCTTCAAGTGGTTCCGGAAATCTAACTAGGATAACACACAATATTAACAGCACCATTCTCTCACAATGCACTCTTAATGGACTACACAAGATATGATGTTTCACTCTACACATGCTCACTGGAACTATGAAAGTTTAAACCTATGTTCCTCCCATGTTCGAGTAGTGGCATAACATCATTTACATGTTGTTACTCAAAATCTCAGAGCTTGGTGGCCTCTAAATCTTTGGTTTCTGAACTTGTTACTGACTTCAAAAGTTTTTCAATGTCCTCTAAATCTTTGGTTTCTGAACTTGTTACTGACTTCAAAAGTTTTTCGATGTCCTTTGAGTTCGAGCTTCCGTGTCTAAGTTGTAACCATGTCCTGTTTGGTTTTAACTTTCTGTCACTGATGGCAATTGCAATGTCATTGGGGAAGAGGTCTTGGATCACAAAACAATGCAAGATGGTTGTTATGAGAAGAATGGTGACTATGATCGTGGCGGTGAGAGAGAGTATGACAGCCAGAGTTTGTGTTACCACATTTGTGACCTCATTTGAGTACCTGATGGTTGCAATGGCAGCACCAGTCATTGGGAATGTATATGCCCACCATGTCAAAGAAAACCTATAGATCCAGATGACAGTGAATGTTAGGCATTTGAAGTATAAATGTGCAATATTATTTTCAGGTTATGTAGAGAAATTAATGGATGTGATATCTTACTTAAATCCTCTGAAAAAGTTAACCCGAACTGCCTGTACAAGCAGTGAAGAAGGATTATAAAAAGTTAAGAATACTAGTCTTAATAAAATAAATGAATCAATAATCTATATTATCTTGGTAGTCCTAGAGTATTGGGACTTGATTCAGGTTATACTTGCCAGTGAGAGATAAAGGAACAAGGAAATGAAGTAAAAAATTCGTGAGCCGTAATTGAAAGAGCCTTGGATTCTTCCCCATGCCATGGAAGCTACACTTGGCGCTGCAACAAACAGAAAGAATACAGGATGGAGGTCCTTTGGGATTACAGTCTCGTTTGTTGGAAGCCTCTGGTAGAGAGTTACAAATAATACCATGTAGTGAGCCAACCCCACAGCAAAGAAGAATACTGGTCCTTCTTTTAGTCCCATTGACGCACCTAGCAATGCCCCCACAAAATTCCCAACAATTGCGAGATGGTTAACAGGATTGGCTACCTTTGAAAGCCTACGTTGGCCTCCTGACATCCACTGTCCATAGATTTTAAGCTCAAGGCATAAGATTGGGGTCATGAGGATGTACCAAAGAGCTGGATACAGGTTGTTAGCAAATGAAGGTGGCACTCCAAGAGCTAAGAACAAGAGGGCTATCCATGGGGAAAAGAAGAAGTTGACACGAACAGGGTGGTAATACTCACGGCGAACTGCTTCAAAGTAAAGGATCATTTTTAGAAGGTAGATACAAGCAACAATAGCTACAAGAGCAACTGAAATGCACCACAGAACTAGATTTGGTATTAAGCTTAAGTGGAGGAATTTCGTGGAGGCAGAGGTAGGAAGGGTCTTCCACAAAATAGCTTGGCTGCTAACACCGAGGCAGATGCTAAATGAAGAAACAGGATACCGGAGAAGAAATGGCCATTGTTTGTCTTCTGGAAGGAGTATTTCCTCTGAATCCTGTTTCATCACATTAAAGTTGAGAAACAAAACAATATCAAACATTTGTAAATGCTTTTTTTTTTTATAGATGAACATTTGTAAGTGCTTTTTTTAATAGATAAACATTTTTAAATACTGAAGAAGAACATAACACATTACCCTAAGGGTTTCTAACTCTGGCCCTTCCAATGCATCAAAGTATCGGTCTGCAGGTAAACGTTCAACTTCTGCATTTTGCAGATTACCATTCTCTGGTTCAGTCTCCCTTGGTGTCTTTCCACGGAGTAGTGTTATCTGCCTTTCCAGTTTCCCAGACCATGTTTTGAAAGTATCAAACCTCTTATCTTTCAACCTTTCAATACTTGGATGATGTGCAGAGCTTTTTGGCATTGGTTGAGAGTGAAATTTTACGGCTTTGGGCAGTTTGCTGCCAGCAGTTTCAGTTGCGGCAGAGGAATTTGGAATTTCACTGAAGATCATATTTTTGCTGTTGTGTAAATGAATTCCGGTTGGTGATGATGGCATGCTAATAGAAACAGAATGCATCTTTTGATGAATCGGGGGTTCAGATCCATCAAATGTGCATTCTAAAGCTGCCGCTTCAATTCCCTGGTGGAAAAATGCATAAAACAAGTTACTATATGCGTAACCATTATAAACTTTATTTTTTCTTCTCCTTGTTTGGCAGAATGAAATAAATTTGTGAAAGCAATTATAGCATGTGAACTGTGCTACTGCCTCTTTTGTATTTAGTAGGCATGAAAGTTTAAGATGAACTTACTTCAGCTGATGGACTGATAGGTTGAAGGTGACTTGGTTGACAGCTGCCATTGAGAAATCTATTTTCCTCAACATTATCAAAGCCAGCCACTTCATTTGATGATATATATCTGATGAGAGATGGAAGTTCAGGGGAATTCAGTTTCACAGAATCTAGATTTTCGCTGTTTGCCATCATAAAACTTTGGAGCAGAAACTCTGAATATGATATCAAGCTTTTTTATGTCCATTGTTGAACAAATAAATAGGATAATGAAAGATGGCATGACTCATCATGAGTATAAGTCAAACCAAGCTGAAAACTACATGAATAGAAACGTACATCAATTGGTAATCTTCTCAAATATATTTATATTTAAAGGGACATGGCCGTGTACAAAGGAGTGATAACCTTTGATTACTGATAATCAACCAAATTAACAAATAAAATTTCACATAAAACTCATCTGTTTATGTAAAAAAATATTGATAAATTGATAACCCATCGGACTTGGGCATCTTATTACACCGTCAATCTTCAACTGCCCTGGGATAATATTGAAGGCAAAATGCAGAAGCGAGAGTCCCCACAGACAACCCTAAACCCTAACATTAATTTAGTATTAAGTCAAATTTGGTGACTGATAAATAAATAATATACTGGGAAATTCTCAAGTAGGGGAGAAGAGAATACAGCTAAAATGAATTAAGGCATGATTATTATAATCCAAAATCCTAAAGTTCGAGGGTTGAAGCTATCTGTATAATATGTTGATAAACTGTCCCAGCATCTATAAAAACCTCAATGATAGCGTAATGGAAAATCTTCATCTCATTGAAGTCGCCGGTTTCTGCAAGAACATATCATCTTTTGATACAACAATAGAATACATATTCAAAATATATTATAAATAATCAATAAATAACTGCATTAAGAAGCAACAAGCAACCCTGAAACCCCGTGGCTATACTTTTTTATAAATAATAAATCGTATAGCCGACCGGCTGTACTCTGTTGAAAATAAAAAATGAAAACAGTCTAGCCGTTCGGCTATACTTGGTTTGATTCTAAAAAATTCTATAGCCGCGCGGCTAGACTTATTTCGACACGTGACGCCCTATGTATAGCCGCGCGGCCATACTCCGTTTACTAGATATTTTTTTTAAAATCGTATAGCCGCACGGTTTTATGAATGATGCTAAACATAGTACAACATAGTATAGCCGCGCGACTATACGGATTTTAACCCCTTGATGTTTTTCAAGAAGCGGATCAAATGGAAATACTCTTACATTCTGATGTCTTAATGGTTTATCATTTCTATTAAATTGTAGTAAACTGAAGGGGAAGAGGCTGTCGGTCCAAGGACTGAAACTGCAGCACCTGAAAACAAAGGTGAAGCAGAGAAATCTGGTAATGCTGTGAAGGAGGACAGCGAGAATCCACCTCCGCCAAAAGTTGTAAGTTCAAGTCCTTCGATAGGATACATAAAATCCTCCTGGTCGTCAGCACCTATTTTCTTCAGACTTCCTTGTCTTATGGAATTTTCATGGTGTTCGTGCAGGAAGTTGCGCCTGACCTGACAATGAATTTGAGAAGCGCAAAAGGCCAGAGGTTATCCCTGCAAATGAGATTGGAGTCACATTTGCAGACATTGGTGCATTGGATGATATTAAAGAATCACTTCAGGAGTTGGTCATGCTCCCACTTCGAAGACCAGAACATTTCAAAGGTGGGCTTCTTCAGCCTTGTAGAGGCATATTGCTTTTTGGTACTCCTGGCACTGGAAATACAATGCTGGCAACAAAAGCCATTGCAAATGAAGCGGGGGAGCAAGTTTTATCAATGTCTCGAAGTCCACCGTCACTTCAAAATGGTTTGGAGAAGATGAAAAAATAGTATAGCAGCCCAGCGGGTGGCTATATTTGGTTTTTATTAATGTTTCTTAAGAATAGTATAGCCGTCGGCTATACAAGTTTTATTTTATTTTCCTATACTCTATTTTTCAGTTTTATTTATGCATAGAATCGTATAGCCGTACTGTTTTAAAACAATAATAATGAATACTATAGCCGTTCGGCTACTCTTGTTTTTTTTTTTTCTTTTCCCTTCCAGTACAGTATAGCCTCAGGAACTCTCTTGTGTACTCTTTCACTGATCCCGTTTGCTTATGGTTGCTTATCGATGCACTCTCCAGGCCCAAAGAACTTCCAAAAATTCACCACAAACTGCGACCATTAATACAAGCTGTGGTAGGGCTCGTACAAGCCTGACATCCATGGAATCGCATCCCCTGTAAGTGAAGGGACGCAATCTCCACTTTCTTCAACTCGGGAGTCTTGAGGTACTTGAAGTAAAGCTCCGCGAGGCAGAGCTAGTCTACTGGGTTGTCGTTTCTGTTGGCGTGACTTGTGGATATTGACTTACTTTCCTTACACACCAAGGATTCCTATTTTATTTGTAATTGATTTACTTTAATTCCTGATTTCCTACTGTAAATAGATTTAGGAATTTATTATTTACTTGCCCATTCAGGTTTTGTTGTATTATAAATATGACCTCCTACAAGGAGAAGAATACATAGAAAATTCCCACAAACAAATATTCTCTTATAGTTTTCATATTTTAGCA